TTCAAGACCAGCCTAGCCAATATGGCGAAAGAGTCTCTACTAAAAATATAGAAATTAGCTCAGGAGTGGTAGCTCACATCTGTAATCCTAGCATTTTGGGAGGTCGAAGCAGGTGGATCACCTGAGGTCAGGAGTTTGTGATCAGCCTGGTCAACATGGTGAAACCCTGTCTATACTAAAAATACTAAAATTAGCCGGGTGTGGTGACATGTGGCTGTAATCCATGGTACTTGGAAGGCTGAGGCAGGAGAATTGCTTGAACCTGGGAGGAGGAGGTTGCAGTGGGCCAAGATTGCACCATTGCACTCCAGCCTGGGTGACACAGCGAGACTCGTGTCCAAAAAAAAAAAAGAAATTAGCCAGAGGTTTTGGCAGGTACCTGTAATCCCAGCTACTTGAGAGGCTGAGACAGAATTGCTTGAACCTGGGAGAAGAATCACTTGTACCCCGGCAGTGGAGGTTGCAGTGAGCCGAGATTTTATCACTGCACTCCATCACAGAGCAATTCCTCTCAAAAACAAAAAACCAAAACTCTAAAGCTAAGAGAAAATTCTGTACCTTGTCCTCCATTATCTAGCCCTACCCTAGGGGCTACTTCCCTTCATAATTTTTTTACTACTGCCTTTAACCATTGTTATAATTCCATTAAAATATTCCAGAATAAGCAGCATATTACTTGCTAGGTTAAATTACTAGGGCAGTCAGTTGCCCTAATCAGTAGCATATTAGAGTGGTAGCTATCATAAGTGCTGCTAATATTAATAGCACACAGTAGCTTTGTTAATTAGCACCATGAATATCAGAAATTGGTTTTTTATTAAATTGATGGTTGTAATAAGCATGAGGAATGTTAAAAATGGGTTCTGAGAAATTAGAGGTTTTCAAGACATGTATTAATAGAGTGGCTAAAATGTTCAGACAGTCCCCATTATTTCCTGAACTGGGTGTAAGAATCCAGGAAGGCCAATATCCCTCACATCCTTAGGGGTGCTTTCCAAAGCTTAAATTAAGAGTCCTATGATCAGACAATGGGTCTAAGGATTTCTAGTTGTTTCATGCTCATTTAAAGGAGCCTTTGGAATGTCATCATATCTGGTATAAGCAAACATTTCATGTGTAATCAAATTACCCAAAATGATCAAGAACTAGAACTCTACCATGCTTATGAAACAAGTTATAATGAACAGTTTTGTGCTTGCAATACATGTTTCACAAATGTCTGTTTGAGTGGCAGAATTTGACCTCAGACTTACTTTTATTGTAACCTGCTAACACGGTTGTGGAGAAATAGCTAACTCTCATCCACATTAAACTTGGTTAGTCTTTTACCCACAAAACCCTGAGCTGCGCATGACCAAATTGTCTTTGATCAGTTGGCTGTGTTTTTAACCCTTCCACTTCCTATAAAGCACCCTATGACAGCCTGCCTGCATGCTACTTCCCTCTTTTACTGTGAGTACCCAAATTCTGTAACTTCAGGAAGACTTCCAGATGCCAGTTAGATCCTAATCCCTCTCAATTCCAATAGTGTTCAATCTATGTCACTTACTGCACTTCAAAATTTGTCTTGTGTCTTTGTGATCCACTTTCTAGCACTTCGTAGATTTTCTTGAGTGGAATCATATGCAGGCCATACTTTTCATTCCTCAAACTATGTAGTCTAGTGCTTTGCTTACAGGGCAGGTAAATAAGAATTAAATGAATAATGGAATATGCTCAAATCACTCTTGGTGTTGGAAGAAGGAGCGTTCACTCTTTCGTGCTAGTTACCGAGTGCTTACTCTGTGCTCAGCATTTTTCTAGGTCCTGGGATGGAAGCAATCAATACAACAAAGTCTCTGCCTTCAGAGAACTTATATTTTAATGGAGAAGACAAAATATATAATGGTAAACAGTGACAAAGGCTATGAAGAAAGAACATTTATAAGACAGCAGAGTGGCACAGGAGTGTGACTTCAGATGGGGTAGGCAGGGTTAATAAGTAGGAACCTTGAAGGCTGTGATGACTGGATTTTTACGAGTGTGATGGAAAAGCTACCAGGTCCTTGCTTTGAATACCTTGTCAGTAGGCCCATAGGATAATTACTTATTTCTTGGGTCTTGTGGCAGACTCCTGACTGTCCTCCAATATTCACCCTCCCCTTCCTGAGTAACAGGGTGGCTGGAGTTTGTGTATGCACATAGCCATACACCTAAGATGACATACTCAATTCTCTTGCAGCTAGCTCAGACCATGTAGCTATGTCCTGGAGAAGAGCAAAAGTAATGTGTACCTCTTGTAGATCATGCTCTTAAAAGAAGTGGTCACGGTCTCCCCTTGTCCCTGTCTTTTTTTGTCCCTCTTTTTTTTTTTTTTTTTGAGCCAGGGTCTTGCCATGTTGCTCAGTCTGATCTTGAACTCCTGGCCTCGTAATCCTCCCACCTGTCTCTGGAGTAGCTGGGATTACAGGCATGAGCTACAGTGCTGGCTGTTTATTCCTTAGATGGTTTGGATACAGATATGCTGGCAAGAACTAAAGCAGCCATCTTGGGCTATGAGAGGGAATCCACACGTTCCTGAGGAGAGCAGAACAACCAACAGAGAAGTTGAGAGAGGAGTCAGCCTATCAGCTCCAGCATGCTTATTTATGCTCTGTTAACAAAAAGCTTCTATCTTGTATATATTATATTTTGGGCTTTGTTACAGAAGAAGAAATCTGTACCTAATTTGGAGGCATATTGGAGAAGCAGTATCTTATCCACAAGGAAGTTAATTACGTAAGTATGGACTACTTATGGTATAACTCCAACAACTCAAAAAGCTAAGGTAGTTTCATAGCAAGGCATGATGGTATTTTCTTAGAAAAAAAAAACAAAACAAAACAAAAACGTTGGACCCAGTTATTCAGTCTCACCTCTGCCATTTACCAACAGTAAGAACTTGAGGCTGGGCATGGTGGCTCAGGCCTGTAATCCCAGCAATCTGGGAGACCGAAGCAGGCACATCACCTGAGGTCGGGAGTTCGAGACCAGCCTGGCCAACATGGTGAAATTCCATCTCTATTAAAAATACAAAAACTAGCGGGGCATGGTGGTGGGCGCCTGTAATCCCAGCTACTCAAGAGGCTGAGGTAGGAGAATTGCTTGAACCTGGGAGGAGGTTGCAGTGAGCTGAGATCAGGCCATTGCCCTCCAGTCTTTGCAACAAGAGCAAAACTCCGCCTCAAAGGAGAAAAAAAAACAGGAAAACAAAACAAAAAGGCAAACCAACAAAAATTTATCAATAACTTCTTTCCATGATTTCTGACTGAAAAGAAGGGGACAGGCTAAACCACTGAGGAGGTCCCTCCTAAATCTAACAACTAATTTCTGATGGTACAGGATTTCACATTGTCAGAGATCACTGGAACTAAATTAAAAATCTAGGCAGGGCACGGTGGCTCAGACCTGTAATCCAGCACTTTGGGAGGTCAAGGCAGGATTGTTTGGGGCTGGTTTGACACAACCTGGGCAACATACCAAGACCCCACCTCTTTTTAAAAAGAAATTCTAAATAATATGAAAGGAATGTAAAATTTACCATTCTGTAACATTCATTGGGAAGCCTGTCCCAAATCTTTCCTTCACCGGAATTCTTTTAACATACTCCTTACTGAAAATTTGGCAGGAATGGTCAAGTGGCCCTCTTGGCACCCTGTCCCCTCAACCTTCACTCTAAACACATGGTCCTGAATGCCAACAGTGTGTTAACATGCTCCTAAGAGGCAAAAGGAAACGGAATTTTACTAACAAAAGCATGGTCAGACAAGTAAGGTACTATTCGTGGAAGGACAACATATTTCAGGTCTTTCTGACCTACCTAAAAATAACTAACCTATGTTGCAGCCTCTCTGATAAACGCAGGGTCAGAGCTGTTTTTAGGTTGCCCTCAGCTTCACCGAGTCCTCTTAGCGCAGCTTAGAATGAAGCTAACCAGAGGAGTCCTGCTCTCTCTCTCTTTCGGATTATACAAAGCTGGCTTTTTGGAAAATATCTAACTCTTCCAGCCTATCACCAGGAAATTATTTTACAGCAATAAACAAAGTTATAATTCAACATTAAAAAATAAAGTCTCCTATACCTAACCTTTTTGGTGGAAATAAAAAGCCTGAATTGTCAACACAGTCAAATCTCTCAAATGTGTAAACTCTATTAATTACAAATTTTCAAAAGTATATATCAATATAAAATAATGAGATGGAATATCTTTAGTGAAGCTCTAACATATTTAAACTTAACAAGGTAACAAGATCTATAAAAATATCTGTACTGCTCAGTGCTCAAAGTCTGTACGTATTTGCGTCCTATGAACTGACACAATTTATCAAGACTACAAAACAGTTAATCTCTACATTCACTTTATTTAGAATGATCAGACTTGAATGTATAAAACTCAAGGTACATTTTTCAAGATTTAAAATACAAGGCATGTAAGCATTAATAATGTGCTCACTATCACACTATGTGCCCACAGAGGCCCCGATCCTATTGTCTCCTCTCAACCACCCTGTGAATTAGGTATGATCCTCATTTCAATGAGACTATCAAGCAACTTTTAAGTGAAAAAGATGGGCTGATTAAAAAATAAATTTTAAAAAATTATTTAATATAGTAGCTTAACAAGAGTAGTAAGTCAAAATTGGCTACTGGGCATGCTGTTAGCAAACTTAGTGTTTAAACCCAAAAACAATTAACCTATGTAGCAACCTCTCTGATGAATACTTGGCCTTGTAACTTGGCTTCTTTAACTAGTGTAGGCCCTTTTTCTCCATAAGTGTTTATTGCTTCTATTAGACTGTGATTTCATTGCAGGCAGACCAGGGACTAAATTTTCTAACCTTTTGAACTAGACTGCTGAACACTATTTTGTAAATGGTAGGTACTCAACAGACTTATTTTTTTAGTAAATCTGAAAACCAAAATGACACTTAAAGGTTCAGAGTATAAAAAAAAGTTCTCACTTAAAATAACATACACCAAAAGAATATGAAAATATTGATTTATTACCAACAAAACAGAATTTCCCACAGTTTTTTTCAATTACATACACACACGCACACACAACAGCAGAATGAAATTACATTTTTCACATCTAAAGGTTTATGCCCCAAAGAAAACAAGCGTGTGTCCAAAAGACAATTAGAAAACAGTAAGAAATCTTTCCTTTTACTTTGAGTATGAAAATCCTTTTAACAGAGACTCTTCCCAGGCAAAACAATGACAATTTGGCATCCAAAATGCTTGTCACCTTAAGGTTTTAAATATCATTGTATTCACCAAATCGAGTTTTTACTAGAAGTTTTTACAATTTTTATGTAATTAAAAATCAACTTTAGCAGAAAATAAAGTTTTAAGTGGCTGAGACTATGTGCTACATAATTTATTCTTCACAGCTCAAAATTCAACATAAAACCAATATTAATTTTGTCCAGTAGAGAAATTAAATGTTTACAAACAAAATATGGAATAATTGCTGGCCTATGCAAACTGAAATGTAATTGACCATTTGATTTTCAAACATGCTTACTCTTCACACTTCTTTTTCACATTGATGCTCATTTTGCAGAAATAAGATGACTGGTAGTAATTAAGACAATAAACTACACCAAGCACATTTTAGTAAAAGTATTTTCGTGGAAAACAAAGTAATTAACAAAAGCATTTGGTAATATCCATTTACTAATATGTTACCAAGTTCTTCAATGTTTACATGACTTGCTCAAATTAGTAAAAATGTCATTTTATCCTAGGTTATATTCTTTCTGTGGCAAAAAGAAAAAGTAAAAAAAAAAATATTTAAAAAAATTTTCGTACTTCATGCATTGGAGTTAGTTTAAGATGGGAAGGCTCTTAACATTTTATAAAGAAGACAATACCTTTTTAAAAAAAAAATGTCTAAATGAGAGGACATAAACTTATGGTTCATTATTTTTTGACCTAATAAGACTATAAACTAAAATGGCTACTTAACAATGTGCAAAACTCAAAGTGAATGCAATTCTTCAATTTATTCAGGCAAGCAAGCCAAAAAAAAATTGTCATTACTGGCACAGTCCAATCCACTGTTCAAAGACATGACCTTGGACTGTCCATTTTCTTACAAAATTTATTTTTTAAAAGAAGAGAATTTGTTTGGCTCTATTAATTAGCATAACTTAGAGATAAACAAATGATTTTCCCATTTAATTCTTTTGCACTGAAAGAAAACAGTTTAAACTAGATTTTCTAAGATAATGGGTGTATCAACAATGTAAGAAAGGCCCTATAGGCTTAAGTTCTAAAAACATTTATGATTTTAAAGAAATCAATGCTTTTACCTCTCACTCTTTACATAACACTAAGAAATTTCAAATATAAATTGTAGAAACCAGTATATGAAATCTTAAGAAAAATCTTACTAAAAATAATTATAAAAATGCTTTTAGAAATTTAAGATGTAAAATACAATTGACTTTAAATAAAATAAAAAAAAAAACCCTGCCCCCACACTTTACAAAGTTATTCTTTAAAAACTCTTGTCACCTGATTTTATTCTCTGTCAATCTTTTGGTTGCATTTTGCATCATCTAGTGGCCACCTTGTAGCATTTCAAAGTAGTCTTGCTACCATTCTTGAAACCCAGTGCTTCTTTCCCTTTGAAATACCAATACAATTATAGCATCAAGTTTCATAAAAGTTTCTTTTAAAGGCCCATAAAACTCCATTTCCTACTGGAGATAAGGTAATCTTTTTAATAGGAAGAAATGAATAGATCTGTCATAAATTATTACTATACATTAGACATTTTCATATCAATTTTTAAAAATTAAATATAACACTGGGAGAAACTAGAGCTTAGGCTCTAGAGTCATCTTTAGGCTCTAAAAGTAATTAAAGTTACTCTGCAATTAAAGCTCAGGGATACCATATAAGTAAACTTCTTGTGATTGATTAAACCCTCTTCCACTGTACCCTTGATTCGTAATAAGTACCTTTTAACATGAGAACTCTATGACTCATGGTCAGAGTTGCTAAGGACCCAAGTTCAACCAAGATTGAAGAAGACTTAACTTTTACAACCAGATGATGTTTTAGAAAGGTCATTATGGTTTCCATTATCAACGTATTTGTATTTAAAAGCAGGTTTCCGGCTGGGCGTGGTGGCTCACGCCTATAATCCCAGCACTTTGGGAGGCCGAGGCGGGTGGATCACGAGGTCAACAGATCGAGACCATCCTGGTCAATGAGGTAAAACCCCGTCTCTACTAAAAATACAAAAATTATCTGGGCATGGTGGTACACGCCTGTAGTCCCAGCTACTCGGGAGGCTGAGGCAGGAGAATTGCCTGAACCCAGAAGGCGGAGGTTGCGGTGAGCCGAGATCGTGCCATTGCACTCCAGTATGGGTAACAACAGCAAAACTCCGTCTCAAAAAAAAAAAAAAAAAGGCAGGTTTCCAAAAATAACTGCTTTTGTTTTAATCAATCTCCTAACTTTTATTCAGTTGAGCCACACTTATAAACAGAATTTAATAGAAAAATTCCCAAGTCTCCTCTTTACTTTTATTGAGAAGGTTGAGTGAATGTAATACGGCGCCGCCGTCTTTGGAAAGCCTTTAAATTCCATCTGTTTGGTTCCAGCATATGAGGGCCATTGTAGACAAACAATACTGTCATCTTTTCAGAATAAGGAAGATTTTGCAGGAGCTGTCAGTATTAAAACAGACAAACTGTCACATAAGCTCTATACTGAGAAAAAGTTTCCAACCTTATATGTGTATAGTCAAATGTATTGTTTTATTTGTAATATTAATAAAACTTTTTTTTTTTTTTTCACTCTGTTGCCCAGGATGGAGTGCAGTAGTGTGATCTTGGCTGGCTGCAACCTCCACTTCCCAGGTTCGAGATTCTCGTGTCCCAGCCAGCCTCCACAGCAGCTGGGATTACAGGCACGTGCTACCAGGCCCAGATAATTTTTTTGTAGTTTTAGAAGAGATGGCATTTTCATCCTATTGGCCAGGCTGGTCTTGAAGTCCTGACCTCAGGTGATCTGCCGACCTCAGGTGCTCTGCCTACCTCAGCCTCCCAAAGTGCTGGGATTACAGGTGTGAGCCATTATGCCCAGCCAGTAAGACTCTTATGGACCCCACCTCAATATAAACCTTGATGGACTGTAATCCTTACCTACATTAGTATACCTGGCCTAAGGAATAATCGAAATAAGGAATAATTGAGCCCTCTAGATTCACAGGATAACTGGGATTATTCAACTTCCCAGGGAGACCTTGGAAAAGAGTATGTCCTCCATAATTTTCCTAAGATAGATACTTTCACTTTTTGTTGACAAACACTTCTCAAGCAACTTGTTTGACAGCGTACTATCCTGAAAAATGTGTAACAGAGACGTTTATAGGCTAAGGTATTTGGCAAGCAGTAGGGTATTAACAGATCTGACTATTCCACAAGAATATCTACTGAAAAAATTAGACAGATGACACTATTTAATAAAAATTTGAATGCAGGATGGGCAAAAGCAATTTTTTGTTTTTTTAAAGACAAAGTATCATTCTGTCACCCAGGCTGTAGTGCAGTGGTGTGATCTTGGCTCACTGAAACCTCCCCCTCCTGGTCTCAAGTGATCCTCCTATCTCAGCCTCCCGAGTAGCTGGGACTATAGATGCATGCTGCCAAACCCAGCTAATTTTTGCATTTTTTGTTTGTAGAGATGGGGTTTTGCCATGTTTCTCAGGCTGGTCTCAAACTCCTGGGCTCAAGCGATCTACTTGCCTTGGCCTCCCAAAGTACCAGGATTACAGGTGTGAGCCACTGCACCTGGCTAAAATTTTTCATAAGTACTTAATTAAAAAATAAAAAATCTGATTACATTAATAAACACATTTTGAATATATACACTTTGTAATTTACCCATAACGCTAGATTTAACAAAAGAAAATTTCCCATTGCAATGGTTGTAGATTATGGAAAATTCTCTATAAAGATAATTCTGTTTTTATCAAAGTTTAACCTGTGAGTAGATGTTGGGATACTTAAATTTCCCGTAGGCCAGCACAGTGGTAGTGACAAATGAAGAGGAAGGGTAGTACATGACAAGAGAGGCTTTTTTTTTAGGAAAATGAAAAGCCAGAGTTTTAGGGGTTGCATTTCCCAGTCATCTTTTAGTGCTGAAAGAGTGCCTTTTCCAGAAAAGGAATGAGAAAAATCTCAATTCCAGAACATAATGATATGACTCCTATGTTTCTTCCTCTGATTAAGTAGGACACTGGAACTTACCCCTTTTGTTACCTTTTAAATTCCTTTTTGGGAAGTATTCCTGCTAATATGTACATAGTGGGCCAAAAACTATATGATTAAGCCACAGGGGATTTCTAAGTATATGACCACTTTTTTTTTTTTTTTTTTTTTTGAGACGACTTGCTCTGTCGCCAGGCTGGAGTGCAGTGGTGCGATCTTGGCTCACTGCAACCTCCGCCTCCCTGGTTCAAGTGATTGTCCCGCCTCAGCCTCCCAAGCAGCTGGGACTACAGGTGCACACCACCACGCCCACCTAATTTTTGTATTTTTTACTAAAAGAGATGGGGTTTCACCATGTTGGCCAGGATGGTCTCGATCTCTTGACCTTGTGATCTGCCCACCTTGGCCTCCCAAAGTGCTGGGATTACAGGCGTGAGCCACTGCACCTGGCCTGTGATCACTTTTAGGTTACTTTTCACCTACCTTTGGTGTTATGAAGAAGTATTGAGATGTATTTTCTTTACAGGCAGTATTTACAACCATTTCAAACACTCTCCGTTCATTGATTGGGTCCATTCCCTACACAATGACAATAATAATGATTATATTTATACCTGTTATAGGATATAGGAAGATCCAAGTAACAGAATAATCACCATACCTGATTGATTTCATCAACTACTCTGAATGGACATCTGTTTAGCTCCTGTAGTGCCATCAAGTATAACATGGTAGAAACACTTCTTTCACCTCCACTTTGATGATGAGGAGTTAATTCATGAAGTTGAGTACTACTGCGAAATTTGACTCTAATTCGAATTCCATACTTATCATAATCTTCCTATAAAACATTTAGAAAGTTGATGAAAAATGAGTTTCCTTTGGTAATGTCATTCTATTACTTGAAAATGGATTGAATTAACTGAATAAGAGTAAAGAACTCAAAATTTAGTGATACTAGTTTAAAAATAAAACAATATATATTTTATAACAATAAATATTAGGCAAACAGTTACTATCTAAAAGCTTTAAGGGTCTCCAACGATCAATTTAGATAAGGAAAATATTCAGATTAAATTAAGATCTTCCTCCTCCATACCATTCTATTCAACTTTAGTAGGCTTCCCCAAGAGTTTTTAGAAATTACTGAGTGAGGAACCCTGTCCTGGAAAGGCACTATTTATTCTAATTCCAAAGTGGTAGGTTTTTAAACTATGGTTGAAAGCAATTAGAACATAATGGAGTGTCATGCTCTCTTCTGCTGGAGGAGCAGCTGGGTACAATAACTGCAGAGGGCCAAGAATCCCCCCAACTTCTTCAGTTGGTTAAGGAGAAAAACACAAGGCAGGAATTACACATATACTTTGAAAACTTAAGTCAAACATACATAGAATACTCAGCAAAAAGCAAGTAACATAACAGGTGCTCAGTAAATATTTGCTGTAATGAGTACATTAGTGTTTAATACATTTTGTCAAAACTGAGGATGCTCTAAGTTTTATTTACTATTCTCATTGATGGCATTTCTAGGTCAGTCAGGTTCAGATTTACCTTAAAAATGAGATACATAATTTACTAATTAGGCCAGAAGTGGTGGCTCATGCCTGTAACCCCAGCAATCTGGGAGGCCGAGGGGGGTGTATATCACTTGAGGTCAGGAGTTCGAGATCAGTCTGGCCAACATGGTGAAACCCCATCTCTACTAAAAATATAAAAATTAGCCAGGTACGCCGGTTGGCATCTGTAATTCCAGCTACTCGGGAGTCTGAAGCAGGAAAACTGTTTGAACCCAGAAGGTGTAGGTTACAGTGAGCCAAGACCGTGCCACTGCACTGCAGCCTGGGCAACACAGTTTCAAAAGAAAAAAACTTAATAATTAAAGGTTTATCTATTAATTGAATAGAGCTTTAAGGTCTAAGACAGTACTGACCAAGAGAAATACATAATGCAAGCCACACAGGTAATTTTCAATTTTCTAGTTGTGTGTGTGTGTGTGTGTGTGTGTGTGTGTGTGTCAGAGTGTCTCACAGTGTCTCACTTTGCTGCCCGTACTGGTCCCAAACTCTTGAATTCAAGTGATCCTCATGCCTTGTCCTCCCCCAAACTGGGATTAAGCATGAGCCACAGCAACTGGCCTTTGCATGTCTTAATGAAACGTTTATTCTAGCCCAAATGGCAAAACATAAACTTACAGCTCAAGAAATTAGTAAAAAGTTTCCCAATATTTTCATTCTCATGAATTCTTAAGTTCTTTTTTTTGTTTGAGATAAGGTCTGGCTTTGTTGCCCAGGCTAGAGTGCAGTGGCACCATTTTGGCTCACTGGTACCTCCACCTTTCAGGCTCAAGCCATCCTTCCATCTCAGCCTCCAGAGTAGTACATACCACCACATCCAGCTACTTTTTGTATTTTTATGAAGATGTGGTTTTGTCATGTTGCTCAGGCTGATCTCAAACCCCTGAGATTAAACCATCTGCCTGCCTTGGCCTCCCAAAGTGCTGGGATTACTGGCATGAGCCACCACACCCAACCATGAATTCTTAAATTCTTGATCAAAAATAAACCACTGATATATACTATATTTCAAACTAATCTGTCTACAAGTCTTCTAAGTCCAGCTGTGGTAGTTTTATAAAGCAATATATTTATTCAACACAACTGAATAACCATTACTCATACTGTATTAAAAGAGTAAGGTATTAGTCACTAATTCCAAACATCACCAAAAAAAAGTGACCCTAATGGAATCCCATAGGTGGTCTTTTCCTTTCTTTCAACATTTTGGTAAACAAAACTTTTCACAGATATAACTCTAAAGCAAATAAATCATTTGTATGTGTTTAAGCATATGATTAAAATGACCTGCCAGAAATATATTTCAAATGCAATTTTACCTCATTTTCTGCATGGAGATCAACTTCACCAGCACACTGCATGGAACTAAAAAAATTGCTGAATTTTTCATTAATTTTTTCTACCAGCTCTTTTAAAGGATTAAGCCACCTTTCTTTTACCTACAAATAAAGGCAATATAAAAACACAATTTAAAAGAAATTTTACTATATTCTGACATAAAATTTTACACAAGTTTTATATCAGTATCAGTCTGGTCATGATAAAACACTTTTCTTAGAAGCATGTCATTTCATTTCCCATTATTCTACATTCTCATTTCATTAATAAGCACATGATAAAAGATTAAAAAATAAAAAATTACCTGTGAAATGTTTTCCCTGTATTGATCTAGTTCAACTTTCTTTCCCTTTAGTTCCTCAGTTAACTGCTCTATTTCTTCTTCTCTTTTTGTATATTCCTGAACAATCTGGCAGGGAAAAAAAAAACTTCTTTAAGATAAAAAGGATAAAACTAGATAAAATTTTGCACCGATTAAAACATTAACTGAAAATGCCAATTGTGCTATATTGTTTGTATACAAATAATTTATATTCTTATTACATACTGAAAGTGACATTTTTTATCCTTGAAAAAACAGACATTGCAATATTTCAGGTTAGCCCAATTATTCTTTTTATAAAGAAAAGGCACAGAACATTGTGTTCCTTAGGAAGAATCTATTTAAAATTCTAATAGATTCAGAATCTGGCATTTAAAGCACATTGTTCCTGCTGTCTAGCTTATTATTACCAAGAGCTCTAGTACAGAGTGGGAGGCAAGTACTGGAGGGAACTGTGTGTGTGTATGTGTGTGTATGGGGAGGGTGGTGGTGGTGGTGGTGGTTGGCTGCAGAATGGGAATAGAGAAAGAGGCATACTGTAGGATTCAGTCCCGTGAAGCAGGAAGCTCTTGATCTTTCTTCAATTAATAAAGCATCAATTTCATCCAAAGTGTTTGGAAGATCCTGGAAAACCTAAAGAAAAAAATTGCCCATCATTACAGATATAATGAAAACAGTTCCATTCAAACAGTTAAAAGAATAATCTGCTGAATAAGTATCTACTATCTGTTCAACAGCATGCTAGCACACAAGGATACAAAGGAATTATAAACGGAGTCATTTGCCTTCAGAAAGCTTGTACTTTAAAAAAAACAAAATGCATGTACTGGATAACACCTTAAGGCAATGTATTGATGTTGAGTATTAAAATAAGCAGTACATATCATATAGGCTAAGGAATTTAGAGAAAGGAAGTATCAGTTCATGCTATAGGAGAGTTAAGAGAATTCAAAGGCCTAGAATTCATCTCCCAGCCTTAAAGCAAATGGCTAGGGAGGAGCAAGGCAGAGAGAAGATAGGAGGTTGGGAAAAAAGAATGAGTACTGCATACCATGGGGAGTGAGGAGTTGTGTCCATTTGGAATGGTGGGTACTTGCTGAATTGGTAGAATGGGTCCAGAATATGTGGGGCATTGAAAGAGAGCAAGAAGTTAGAACTTTATACTGTACTTATGAAGAACTAAAAAAGCATCCTAAGAATCTAATTACCTGGACAGTTGCATTTCACCATAGTACTATTTTCAGAGTCCATGCCATGGGAACAAATTAGAACAGATACTTTTTTTTTGAGGGGAGGCAAGCAGTACATTGTTTGGCCTAGCACAACCTGCAAAGGCTACATACTACACAATACAAAATGAATCCTGAAGCCCTGAAAAAGAGCTTGACATATAATCTAATATCTTAAACTTATTTTAACCTTTCAGAAAGCAGTTCAACTTCTACAGAACTTCAAGTATTCATTTGTTGAATCTCTGACTTACTGAGATTTAAGTTCACGTGCCCAACATTTATTTACTTGATATCCTCACTTGACTCTAATAGGCATCTTAAATTTAATATGGTGAAACAGAATCTGGATTTCACCCACCTTCCCTACTGCTTTAAGCAAACCTGTTTCTCCTTCAATCTTCTCCATCACAGTATATGGCACTGTAGTTTGTTCAGGTGAAAAATTTAGGGGTTCTCTCTCTTATCATTCATGTCAAATCCATCAGCAAGTCTTGCTGGATCTGTCACCAAAAGGTATCTAAGATCTGTCAACTTCTTGTCTCTCTTCAGTGCTACCACCCTAATTCATGCCATTATATATCACTTGCGTGGTCCAAAGCAATGACTTTCTAAATGCTCTCACTGCTTCCTTTCTTGTATCCCTACTTTAGCCTCCATCTAGAAGAACAGAAGTTAGAGTACTCTTTCATAAATGCAGCAATGTCACTTTTCTGTTTAAGATCCTCCACTGGAGTCCATCCCCAAAAGAATACAACTTTAATTCCCTGTACAGTCTACAAGCCCTACATAATCTTGGCTTCTGCCTTTTTCTCTGCTTGAATAATTTTTAACCCCAATGAGATTCTTATTCTGGAACATCCCAAATATACTTCTCTCTTGGGGCTTTTTCTGAACTGTTTTCTCCATCTGGAATAGTTTTCCCTCACTCACATCTTCACTTGACTGCTCTTTTCTCTTCATTCAGGACTGTTATAAAATGGTATTTTCAAATGAGGTTTCCCTGACCAAGTTCCCGTCCATGTTACGCCATCTCCTCAACCCTGTTTTATTTATTTATTATTTTTTTAGCATCTCTTGCTATCTGACATTATCTGATTTTTGATTTGTGTTTTCGTCTACCCAATCTTCCAGACTAGAATATAAGTTTCAGCTGAGAAGAAAATATGTCTATCTTGTTCAATGCCTGACATATAACAACAGGTAATTAATACATTTTAATGAATATATTAATCATCTTCTAATTTTGCTTCTTTCAAAAACAGTATGACTTATCAAGAATACAATCATGCTTTTTTTGAGAGAAAAAATTAGTACGAATTGTACTTATATTTATTTTATAACAACACAATGTATTCTGAAGGCATTCTAGTCTGTTTTTAGAAACAACCTTCTCAATTAGTTTTAAAAATATCTACTGTATTCCAACTATGGATCCAAATAGTCAAATCCATTCTCTGTGATTTCTGTGTCTGATATCATAAAATAAATCACCGGAGGACTTGAAAATTATAATCCATTATTTTTTTCCAGTTCATATCTTTAATAGACATTTCATTATCTATTTAAATAGATAACATTTGAAATTAAGAATTTTAAAAAACACCAATACTAGATACTTTAAGATTCATTTTCTAATTTCATTTTGACATTATTCTGAATAGGTATGTAGGCAAAGTATCATCCCCACTTGTCAGAGAGATATGTAATTAATGGTGGAATGTGACTAAAGGGCAGCATCTCCTAATTTTACTCACTGATGTGCCAGCATACAAAATATAACGGAAAAAGACCTCTTTTTTTCCTTTCCTTATTGGCTGATGTTAGCCCTAAATATTCAGCTCTCACTGAACCCTAATTAAACACCCCAATTTCCAGGGACAGGCTTTATTTTTAAAATATTCCCCTATTATTTCTTTTCTTTTTCTTTCTTTCTTTTTTTTTTTGCCATGAGCATTGCTTACCTATATTATTTCTTATATACCAATTACTGGTACAATGTTTCAATGAAAAACTATACACTGTATGTTCCAATTGTACCCATTAAAAGCAGTTTGGGGGGAAAAGCCCATTTGTATTGGAAGAATAAATGTTACAGTACCAATAATTTTGCAAGGTGATAGCCATGTTTTAACTTTAATAGGAAGCAGTAAGACTGGTGGCCAAATTTAAGTATAATAGAGAAAATCTGTTAAGCAAAATTTTATATATACATATGTGTGTGTGTTCCACTTAAAAATGTGAAAAATTCCCTATTTTTTATGACACATCATGTTTTTCATGGACTATTACAATGCCTAAGATCCTATAAGCTAATATGTTAAATATGGCAATTGTAGCATTATATACATTTTTTATACTTACTGTCTGGTATTCTTGAGGAAGAGTCTGCTCTGCACCCAGGTTACATACTTGCCTAGCTCTCTTCATAAGTTCCTTGCATTTCTGCAATAATCTTTGTCTATTTTCATCCAATTCAATGAAATGTTGCTATTACCAAAAAAAAAAAAAATTATTTTGAAAATTTGAATGTTATTCTTAGGGCAGAGGGCTGTTTTATTAAACTACCACATATTAAATATATTGTTGAATTCTGATTATGATAACCAAATTATCTGAACCCATATCTCAAATAACAACTTTTATTATAAGGGTTAAATCTGAACTTAAAGTTTAAAATACATCAGCATATCAATAACCTGGCATTTCTCTAATCCATAAGAGGTATAAAATTTAAATTTTACTGCCTTTTTCTGAAAGTTTAACCTAGGTGTATGTGATTATATTTATTTATTTATTTATTTTTTTGAGACAGAGTCTTGCTCTGTCACCCAGGCTGGAATGCAGTGACATGATCTCAGCTCACTGCAACCTCTGTCTCCCAAATTCAAGTGATTCTCATTCCTCAGCCTCCTGAGTAGCTGAGACTACAGGCATGCACGACCATGCCTGGCTAATTTTTGTGTTTTTAGTAGAGACAGAGTTTCACCATGTTGGCCAGGCTGGTCTCGAACTCCTGGTCTCAAGTGATCCATCCATCCTGGCCTCCCAAAGTGCTGGGATTATAGGCATGAACCACCAAGCCTGGCCATGTAATTATATTATAATGAGATTTGAGATACACAGTATCTTTGAGATACATAGGCTTCATAAAAGAAAACTCAGTGCTCAAATATAGTCAGAACCTTTAAATCATGTTTGATAGTATTCCAAGTGCCATCCATGTAGTTATTTATTCATGATCTACTCATTCCTTCAACAAATAATTACTGAGAACCTATTAAATGCCAGTATTATAATCTGCATGGGTCACAGAAAGGTGAATAAGGAGAAAAAGACACAGGATTATTAACCTAACAGAAACAGGTACTCTTTACTGAGTGCTTTTGTGCGAGGCCCTTGGCTAGGTGCTTCGCATACATTATTCCCTTTATTTCTCACAAACAGTGCATAGTAATATTATCCTCATTTAGTGCATAAAAAAAAAAGACAGGAATTAAGTAACTTGCTCAAGCCCACACATTTAGTTAGAGACTGTCATGATTCAGATCCCTGTCTGCTTATAGGACACACGCTCTTTTCATTACAGCATGGCACCTCTCAGTGGGAGCAGAATGGACAGAGTATGTATGCAGGGAAGGTCAGAGTGGCCACAGAAGTTATGAAAACTGAACAGCCTTAAATGACAAGAAATAAGAAACAGCAGCAGTAGACATTCCAAGAATAGGTGATTATGAATTTTAAGGCATATACATCTAAAAGACCTGCTTATTTAAGAAATACGTAATCCAATGTGGTTGGAGGAGAGGAATTTGTAAGGATGTAAAAGATCAGAGTTGGCAGACAAGAGCTAGACTGCAAACATTTCACATGTAATGGGGAAGGTATCTCATCTACTAAATGTCTTCTGTAGGTCAAGCACTGTTACAATCATTATTCTGTTCATTATCCTAATCCCCATTATAATCTTAAAGAAAGTGTTATCTCTATTTGTAGAGTGGCTCAGACACATTAAGAAACTTGCCCAAGGTTACGGTACTAGCAGACTTCTGAGAAATAAAACGGGTCTAGTTTGCTCTTTTCACTAACTCTCAAACTCTAGTTGGCACAAAAAACACTTGAGGGTGGGGGATCTGGAATGGTCTGCACACCTGTATTATTAAGGGGGCCCTCAAGTGATTTTTATGCACACGAGTTTGACAGCAAATAAACTAAACCAAGACAATAGTTAGGAAAAGTAAAAGGATATATACTGGACCAAACTGAAAATACAAGTAAGCCTTTATACTAACCACTTAGTACTATGGTTTCCTTGAATAAATTCCTCAGTCCCTAGAGCTTGAGAGAAATAAAAGAAAATGTTAAAGACTCCCAATCACCCCTACTCTGCTCTGTAAGGGCCACTGTACTCAGGCAAAGGCAAAACAAGGAACAGCTGGATAGAAACTAAATAAACACTCCTAATTTCTTCTATTCCTGCTTGTTCCTCTGGACTTTGCTAAAAATATTAGAACATGGCAAAGAAATATCAATGAGTTGATAATTTGAAGCTCTGGACTTCGAAGGACAAAATCTCATTTAATAGTTTCTTTCAGTTTGGTGGCATATGTTTAATAAAATATATATCTGAGAAAATATTCTTTCTGTACATATATGTGTGTTTGTGGCATTAGATCTTCACGTGGCACCTATTTTGCTTTTTGTTTTTAAAACTATAATTATTGCTGAGCTTTTTAAGGGAGGTAAGTGGGAAGGAAAATATAATTATATCAGATAATGCTGTAAATTCGAACTAGTGAAGAGGCTTTGTCTACATTTCTGCTTAGAGTCTAGCCTTTAATAGTTAATAGAGAATAGAAAATATTCCATCTGTTTAAGATGTAAGAGGAGAAATGGGTAAAATGTACAAAATATCCCCCACTAATATCTCAAAAAAGATTATTTCCTAGTTATATATCCTAGAAAAAAATTAGTATTTTTTCTAAATTCTTTTTGTGAAAGTTCATTTGTCGTGGAAATTGTACAGAAATATGTTGGCATTAAACAAGAAAAAGCTTTTGTAAGAAGGCCCTCTTGTGGAAGAAGTACGAATTATTCACAGAATTTCTTATGAAAACTATATATATATAAACTGTTATTTTAATACAATTTCATTCCATTTAGTTGATTTCAAATTCAAATGTTAACCATTTGTTTTAATTACCAGACAGAATACGCATTTAAAAATATAAAAATCATTCTTTTTTAAAAATCAACTTTAAATTTTAATGCAATACTTGAAATTTAGAAAATAGTAATTTTATCTGACTTTTCATATACAAATCCATAAATTCTACTTACACTAATTTAATCATAAACAATAAAGGGAATAATATTTGCTTGTTAAATGTTTTCTTCGAAATTATATACATCTCATTTGAGTAAAAAATGTCTCCTCTGAAATTCTGTTCTTTTTTGTGGGAGAGTGGGAAGCACATAGGCAGAAGAGAGGTCAGATGAAAAGCACAGAACTCCTAAACTTAGTATTAGTTAGTATAAGCAAATAAATGTAACAACTTCCTATTTTTATAACTAATATTTCTACACTTTTAAAGGAAACATGGGCTTCATGCTAAGCAGCACTCTAGGCATCTTGATGTATATTATTAAACAAAATTATCATAATAACCCTGCAAATTAGGTAGGTATCATACTTAAAGCTGCAGATAATGATTAAGCTTGGAGTAGTTAGGAAACCTGCCTAGGGTCAAAAACAAAATAACAGACATTTTTATCTGTCTACCTCTGTATTTGGATTCACACACAGCTTACTAACTTGTCCTAAAAATAGTTCATAAGTTAGTGACATTACCAAAGAGAGGCTTCCAATAATTTGCCTTTCTCTGGGGATGTTTTATAAGAATTGTTGCCCTATTTACCTTCCAAAAGTCTGAGAAAGTATCAAACTCCATAGTGGTTAGTTACCTCTAAGTCCCCTCATGAATACAATCTCTACTGAAATTTTGTGTCAATCTTCTTTTGTGAATTTATTTTATGATGAAAAATGGACAAAACCAGAAGTGGTAGCAATAGTTCCTTAGAGCAACCTGCCATGTGTTCAAAGGGACAAGTAGGAAAAACAGTATTCCTCTTTGGTTCAAATGAAGCTGGATAGCAGGAACAACAGATAAGATAGATAAAATCATGTGGAGGTAAATGGCAGCAAACATGAAAAGAAAACGAGTGCGTACAAGAGAAAGTGAACTACCATACACCTACTCTATTATATATTTTTACTCATTCTTGACCCTTTCAAATGTGTGGCTAATGACTATGATCAGACAGCAACAAACATTTATTAAGTATGCAGAACAAGAAGTGAAAGAACCTTACAAAAGGGCTAGTAAAGCATTTGTAAATGAAAAGCATTTAAAAATTTTATTTTTTTATTTTAGAGATAAGGTCTTACAATGTTGCCCAGGCTAGACTCGAACTCCTGGGCTCAAGGGATCCTTCTATCTCAGCCTCCCAAGTAGTTGGGACTACAGGTTCATTCAGATCATTTAAGAACTTTCAAATCAACGTATTAATAAGGAAAACAATGTGGTATGAAATATTGCTGAGGAAATGCAAAATAAAGTTAGGTAGTTTTAAGTAAGGTTACTATGGAAAAACTTGCTAAGGTAGGGGTGTGTGTGTGTGTGTGTGTGTGTGTGTGAAGGAAGACTTCTGGTTTTAAAAGCAGCAATGGACTCAGAATGACAAAGGTGAAGGAATAATACAGGAAAGATACAGACGTTATAAGCAACTGTAGTAACACTGAAACAGCCAAACAAGGTTAAAAAAAAAAAAAAAAAGGCCAAAAGTTGGAAGTAGACATTAGAAGACTACTGTAAAGCTTTGGATCATGTATAATACACATTATAAAGCTGTACATTTCTGCAGCACAATAGAAAAATGAGTATATTTTCTTCTGGCAGTTAAATGAATGCAAAATTAGTAAAATACAGCTATTAGGACTTAATGCCTAGACAGGGCAGTAAGCCGCAGTAGTTAGAGGTGAATCAGGAATGTGTAATAGCAAAACTGGGCAAAGGGCAAGGAAAGGAACAAGAACAAAAAGAGAATCAAAATGTGCTAAATAAAATTTTTCCAATTAATTTTAAAAGTAAGCAAATGGCCGGGCATGGTGGCACACGCCTGTAATCCAGGACTTTGGGAGGCCAAGGTGGGAGGATTGCTTGAGGTTAGGAGTTTGAGACCAGCCAGGGCAACACAGTAAAAAAAAAAGCCAGATGTGTGGCGTGCACCTGTAGTCCTAGATACCTCGAAAGGCTGAGGCAGGAGGAATGCTTGAGCCAGGATTTCCAGGTTGCAGCAAACTATTGACTGTGCTACTGCACTTCAGCTTCGGTAACAGAGTAAGATTCAGTTACCCCATTCTCAAGGGGGAAAAAAAAAGCAAAACAGCAAATGTGTTGAGAAATTATGCATCATTAAAATATCAAAAT